CATCCATCCATCCATCCATCCATCCATCCATCCATCCATCCATCCATTATCGTTACCTGCTTCTTCCTTTTTGGGTCTCAGGGTCATTGGTTCCTATGTCCAGCTATCACTGTGCGAGAGGCAGTGTACACCCTGAACAGGTCACAAGTCCATCAATGCCAGCATAAGTAGTTAAATGCCAGCATAAGTAGTTAAATATTTTAGTATTGGTAGTTAAATGTGCTGGTATAAGTATCCTGATGCATGCTCAATAATCCAAGTGGAAAAATCTAAAAAAGTAAAATCTGGTCCTCTGGACATTCAAAAAACAAAACAAAGATGATGAAACTTGATCATGTGAGCAGCTGGTTTTGGTTGTCAGCAGCAAAACTGGTTGATCCACTCTGAGAAGGTGCTATTTAAGAGACTGAGCTGATTACAGCATCTCAGACTGAGGAAGTCTTTCGGATGAAAGACAAAACTTTTCTACATTTTTTTTTGTTTTGCTTTGTTTTGTTTTTTGAATGTCCAGAGGACCAGATTTAACTTTTTCAGGCTGGTAAAAATAGTTAAATAACGACAATAAAGAATCTCTGACTCTCTGACTCTTAAATATGCTTGTATAAGTAGCTAAATATGCTAGTAAATGTAATCTGCAGCCACTTCTTCAGGTCGTCCTTCATCCCTCGTCTGCAGTGGTATGATTATATTGTCCAGTTTAAGCTCTGACAGGTGGTGTTCCTACATGTTTTAATTAAATCAACAATGCTTGGAGAAACTACATTAGCTCGTACTGTTAGCACATAAACAAATGCCTGTTTTGATATGCACCGAAAGACGTGCCTATAATTCACGCAAGGCAGCATGGGGTCTAGGAATAAGGTGGATAAAGTCCTGACTGGTGTGGGGGATGGGGTCAATACACATGCATGAATACCATATTCTGTTTGATATATTTTAGAATTATTGATAGAAATCTAATTTTGTTGGGTTTGAACATGTGCACTCGTCAGGTTGCGTACCTGAGGTAGACAGTTATCAGGTGATTTTCAGTCAGAAAGAAAAGTTTTTCTCTTATTATTTCATTTTTTTCTCAGACCATAAGACAGCAGAGTCCACCGCCCTTGTTTATGAACAACTTACGTTTTCAATTTTTATTTCCATTGCTATTTTCTTAGATATATAAAAAGCCAATCTTGACAGCTCTGTGTGTCAATGCCTTGTTGATATTTGCAGTTTATTTAGACAGGTAAATCGCATTGAGCCTCCAGGACTCATTTACATGTTCTGTGGCAGCTCAGCATTGGATGGCGTTACTCACGAGGCATGATGTTTCGGTCTGCCAGCTGTTCTCGAGTCCTCCTTTGCTGAAGTCTTAACTGTAGCACTGAAGATAACAAAACAAAGAGAAGAAACAGGTTGGTTCAGAACATAGAGGCCAAAGCTTTTCATCACAGTATTAAAATACCAACAATATTGATATTATCGTAACACAGCAATTCCACTAAAGAACATCTATGAATAAAAGCTACCCCAAAGAAGTAACGAGCAAAATATTCACAGAGTGCAAAGCCTGCATCTGCTGCGCTGAGATTGTTCGAGACACAAGATTGAGAGGAAAAGTACACATTTTTACTTGGAATCAAGCTAAATTGGTATTTATGACGCTTTTACGTCCAAAACTTTAATTATACTGCAACATTTGCACAACATTCCTACAAATGTGCAAATTTCCATCCATCCATTATCTTTTACCCACTTCTTCCATTTTGGGTCACGGGGCTCACTGGTGTTCATATCCAGCAGTCCCTGTGCGAGAGGCGGAGGACACCCTGGACAGGACTTCAGTCTATCACTGTGATGGACTGGAGTCCTGTCCATCACAGGGACACCCTGGTCTAGGAGCATGATTCTTGCTTGGGGTGCGAGAGGTCCCAGGTGAAAATCCAGAACTTTCGAAGTACCAATTACCAATGATATTTTACAACTATATCAAAAACAATAGCAAAATTAATGTCAAACAATTGAGTAATTGTATTTTAAGTCCCTTGATAAATTAATGTACACAACAACTAAAGTAGTAAAAAAGTAACCAATAGTGTACAACTTTTTTAAACTAATGGCTAAACAAAAGCAATGTATTTAGCCTTAAACCAAGTTTACACTGAATCAAAACAAAGATTTTTGACTAGTAAGTCTTCTGACTGTCTTCAGAAGCTTAAACCAAGACTAACAATGAACTCCCACAACAGGAATGAACTTTTCCAAAGCCAAACGTTTCATGAACAAAGACAGCCATACAAAATGGGAGAGTTGCTCTGTCTAAATAACAGCTTCCCTGATTGGTAGGAGAGCTGGGCTTAAATACACAGGCCTCTTCTGTGATTGGAGGAGCAGGAGGTGAAGAAGCCAACCTGGATGCAGATGGATGTCCAAAGAGAGGAGTCGGGGGAGGCCAGCCAATCCCAGATGGGCCATAACACAGCTGGGTCAGCAAATCAACCGGTATCTATAGAGCCAATCAAACATCTGGCCTCAGGCCATAACACCAGGTCTCCAGTCCATCACAGGGACACCTTCACAGATCTCCGGTCCATCACACAGACACCTGGACAGGTCTCCAGACCATCACAGAAACATCTGGATAGGTCTCCAGTCCATCACAGGGACACCTGGACAGG